GAGAGAGAGAGAGAGAGAGAGAGAGAGAGAGAGAGAGAGAGAGAGAGAAGGAGAGAGAGAAACACCACGGAGGAAATCCAGGATGGACACAAATGGGAAAGATATAGCACAACTGCACGATAAAGGCAAAAAGAACAGTTTCAGTGTGTCTCAGGCTGTTGCTCTTTCTTCATTTGCTTCGCAAAGTGCACTCTTTAAGCTAAGAAAAGCACTCCTGTTATGTGCCACTTTTGTCTGTTTTTTCAAAGAAAAGCACTCCTCCTCCCGAAATTACGGAGTCATTTTGCCAAATTCCTTCAAAATGGTGTGGCGGAGTTGGAGAGAACCTCCCAGCATCGAGATCTGTGACCTGGGCATACGCAATAATTCCTAGTCTATATATCGGCAAATATATACATATGTGAGGCACAGGCCCTCGATTTGCCTTACAGGACCTATTTTCCACTCAGTCGGCCCCCCTAAGTGAAGGCAGGCAACGACCAAGGCCCCAGGCCATTTTGGGGTCACCACGCAACTGGGGAAAATTCAGGCAGTTGCGCAGCGCCAGTTGGTTGGAAGCGCCCAGGCCCAGGGTGCTTTTCACTGCATGTAACTGAGGCAGGCCCTGGGCCGGATACACAAAGCGGACCGAACAAAGGCTGAGGGCAGCTGGGTGCTGGTAACCACCACAGGCCCTGGGCCTGTTTACTTCGGACTGAGGATCAGCCTCGTGGGGCCCACCGGAAGCTTCTGGACCAGGGCCCAGTACCGCATTACTGCACGCAGCAGCAGGCCACTTCGATACAGAGAAGGGCCTGCCTACGCATTGGACATTCGGGCACTGGCTGCTTTGTGCGCAAGCACTGCTGCTATCGCCTGCCAGGCTCACGCGCTCACGTGCGAGCTGGAAGGAGCAGGCAGCCATAGCCGAGCTGCGCTGCTGTATGCTCGATGGGGCACATGGTGGTCCTTGGGTGCAAGTGGCATCTGGAGTTGGGGAACGAGGTTGTGAGTGATACGAGAGACATACCTGGTGCTTGACGCATGCGGCATAGGCCGAGGTCTGCTCGTACTTGGGAAGCTGTTGACGTCATCAGCGGCATTGTAGTCTAGGCCAGATAGGATCTGCCATTCGTAGTCTGGGCACCGAGCGCCAGATAGGATATCAACATTGGTTCTTCGTTGATGATGATGAGACTATTCCAGCATTGTCAATTATGAGCTTTTGGTGTGCTCTTATTTGGTGAAACTCGTGATGCAATTCTGCTTTTGGTTCGAGGTCACGACTATCTGGTCTCATGTGTATAATCATACTATAATGCTGTTTGATTGCTGAAGTTCGCTATTGCTCATCTTCCTTGCACATATATATAGTCAAACAGAGCTGCCCGGTAAACCGTAGGCAGAGAGGGAGAAGAGGACAACAAACGAGGATGTTCAATTGGTAATTCAACTAGCTGACTAACTAAGATTGGATTGACTAGAACTGGTAAACTCTTTGTTGTAGGTCCAAATCCTACATTCCAGAAATTAAGCCATAATAAATAAAAAAAACAGAGTTTGGTCCTGGCGCAGAATGAACGCTAGCGATATGCTTAACACTTATATACATAGATATTGTATACATTTCTTCATGGCTGTGCCGGCAACCGGCCGGTTGGACCGG